GGGTTGAACAAACGAAGAAAATTCTCGCCTGCACTGTCGATAAGGTCAAAGGTCAACCACGAAGAAATTTGACATGATGAAGGTCAGGGACGTCATCAAAACACGTAGGCCAAACAATTCAGCCGATCACGACGATGTGGGTTAGACGAGGGTGATGACGTAAACTCTTCCAACGAACAGTTGACGATGTAGGAAGAAACCCGAAAATTAATCATCAGTCATGAAGAAAATCTGCATAAACCATAGATTCATCACGACGAAAACAGCACGGTCATTGTAGAGGGTCGGGGACGAGTGGCGATGACGTCATAATAAACAACTGTGGACATCAAATAAATGCCGGCCTTTGAACTACTGCTCAGCACGAACCAAAGATGAAAACGGCCACATCTGTAGTTCTAACCTTGACGGGAATCAATGGGCGATGAGAGACCCGATATAGTCGCTGGATATCGCGCCGGTCAACCAGAAGTCCGTCTCCAGCAAACGACGACGAATCGAGCAGGCCACATCAAGCGTCGAAAAGTCCATCCATTACGGTCCAAGGTCAGGGTCTGGTACACAACTGAGTCCCGATCAAATTAAACAACCGTTGATACTGATGATTACGACGTACTGCTGTAGATAACGGGCGAATCTAGATGTAGGCATACTGCTGGCCACAGATGAGATGACATTACGGCAAGTGTAGACGGGAACGTACTGTGCGACAGATAAGTTCAGCAAACCGCTGCTTCCACCATATGTTGCGAAGCAAGTTTCGGTACGGGTCGATGCTGAACGTTACGAACAATAGATGACGACGATCCAATGAAGAACACAGAATGACACTACGATGTTTCTATCTTTTATTACATATAATATCAACAGCTACATAAACGATAGACGGGACGACGACTTCTATACATCCTCACCAAACGACGACAAGACCAAGACTAACTCTCAACTATCTTCCTAACAACGAAAACATTCTCCCTTACGTCACATCCTTATTTATTCATGCATTCATAATCTTTTATTAATATCGCTACACACATACTCTCAAACCATCCACAACTATATTAACTCTATTCAACTACACACATACTCTCAAACTCATTCCATACATTTAGGTCCATTCACAACAAGCAGTAGGGTTTGACTCCACTCTATAGAGCAGTAGGGTTTGACTCCACTCTATAGAGCAGTAGGGTTCGACTCCACTCTATAGAGCAGTAGTGTTTGACTCCACTCTATAGAGCAGTAGGGTTTGATTAAACCCTAAATAGCAGTGGTTTCAAAACGAAAGCAACCTACCGTTACATGATTGTCCTTAGGGAAGATGTGTAGGATTTATCCATCTGTGTAACGCTGATCCTCGCCGTCGCATTTTGCTTATCATACCAAGTTAGCAAACAAGTTAATTAAAAAGTCTAGTGACAATTTTAGCGCAATTTCCTTATATCAAACCTCAGCTTATTAATAGGGTACAAAAATAACGTTTGATTTAATAAGTAAATTAAATCGAGATAAATCATATATTGAGCAAATAAATAATGCAACACAAGTAGTTTTAATAATTCAAAAGAAAATAGAAAAAATATTTATTAACGAGATTTTAAAAAAAATCCTTTCGAACCTCCGCTCATTCGATATGGTAAAATCCTTTCGAACCTCAGCTTATTAATAGGGTACAAAAATAACGTTTGAATTAATAAGTAAATTAAATCGAGATAAATCATATATTCAGCAAATAAATAATGCAACACAAGTAGTTTAAATAATTCAAAACAAAATAGAAACTAGCCTCCCGTATCAGTCGAAAAAAAAGGGGAGAGTAGCCTCCCGTATCAGTCAAAAAAAAAAGGGGAAAAATTTAAAAAATCCTTTCGAACCTCCGCTCATTAAAATCCTTTCGATCCTCAGCTTTTGCGCTAAAAACCTACAAGACGCTCAGTTTAAAAATTCTTAATTAATTTTTTGTGACCGAACAAAAGGATATTTTTGAAAACTTTCTTCGGCAATATTGGTTTAAATTATGGCAGGAATCGATTGGTAAATGTTTCAAGTCGCTAAGTGGTCTGGTTGCCGAGAAATGGAGCAAAAACTGAATTTGTTCGAGGTTTTTTGGCTTTTCCGGGAAATCCATGAAAGAAACCCGGAATTTTTATTGCCTATGTTCATCCTCGTCACTTGCTTAACATAATTGCTTTTGGAACTAGTCATCGATATTGCTTCGTTGAGGAGGAGATACGACTTAAAGCTGCGGACACACATCCATCCATCCATCCATTCATTCATTCATACATTCATACATCCAGAAATGACGGGTTAATAAACGCAATTCTCCAGAATGGAAATTGCGCTAAAAATGGTTGTCATTTTGTCATTGTAGACCCGTTTGTATACACGACAATGTGAGCACGTTTTCTACGTTCAGCACACTTTGAGCTGTGTTTTAATAAGGTCTTAATCTAATAATACTCTACCATTGGGGATTCCCATTTTCAGCGTTCTTTATTTTAGTGCAATCACAGTTGAACGTGACTATTTTTTTAATCAATGGCGGCAAACTAAAAACTAATGTCACCTGTATACTTAATTTATGTTGTTTTTGAACTTTGTATAAAGAAGGTACAAGTATAAAATAGTATAATTTTTCACAGAAATAAATATATCATTTGTTAATAGAAATTGAGTAAAAAATGTGTGTCGTTAAGCATTGACTTAAATTGTTTATATCAATGGTATTCTAAAGCATTAAATTAATGATAATGGACCCAACACGGAATAGCATTGATTTGTTAAATGCATATTCAAGATAAAGCGATGTGATCGCCCCGAAAATGTCTTGTATATTCTTCTATAACAGTAGAAGGGAAGTTACTTTCAGTGCAATCAGGATATAGCAATATAGAACTTTGTGGTAAACTGCAACATTTTTTTAAAGAGAATGTCGTAGAAAAAATAATTGCGTACTAAATGAACTCAAACTGTGTATATAGTAAAGTAGAAATAGGTGAAACAGTTTTCAAATTATCTTTTGCCCAATTCAATAGAGTAAAGTATCACTTTCTCTTACCATAAAGATTTCACAAATCCTTAGATATTTACGCATGATTTAATTTACAATGATTTACATAAATTTGAAATTTCGTTCACTTAACTAAAACAGTTATGAAGTAATTAGCCATTGAGAAACCGGAATTAGAGTAAGTACAACTTCCGATTACAAAAAGTCGTTCAAAGATTGATAGGAAACTAAAGTTTGACGGAAGAATGACATTAATATGGAGTTATTACTACCTGTCAATTACCCTCCACCAAGAAGGACCTTACCCTAAAGATTAGAGTAAGGACTAGAATTAGGGTTAGGTTGGGCTTAGACATATGTCTATGATTGGGGTTGGGTTTAGTTCTAGACTGAAGTAAATTATAGCCACTCTTTCCTAGGTGTGTGTCTTACTCATGTGTTAGCATATATATATATATATATATATATATATATATATATATATATATATATATATATATATATATATATATATATATATATATATATATATATATATATGAAGATTACTAAGTCTGGAAACAATTAGACATTATCACGCCGAGAGTTTTAAGAGCTAGATTTTATATATATATATATATATATATATATATATATATATATATATATATATATATATATATATATATATATATATATATATATACTAGCTGCATCCCGTGCTCCGCCACGGTAAATCTTTTTTAAATGTACCAACTTGGGAATAGAACAAAACTAAACACAACACAAACGAACGCAAAAAAAAACACAAACGAAAAAACAAACAAAACACTCATAACATAAACACTATTTAAATGCAACCAGTTAATGAGGCGTAGCGACCCTTCCCGGAGCCCGGGGACAAACTTTCGATTTGCTACCTCCCCCTCACATTTTTGATTTGCAACCCTTCGGCGCCATGGGAAAATAGGCCCCCCCCCCCTTGCAACCCCTCTACTATAAAATCCATAGCTTGTCCGCAAACCGAAAGATAGAATAATAATTAGTAAATAATACGTTCAGTGTATAACATAAATTAAAGGCTTTATTTAGAATATCCGTGTTTTACAGACCATATTGCACATTATAAATTTATGCATTTTTTCAGTACTTTTTAAAATTTACAATAAAGTTTCATGACTAAAACCATTGCGCACCCAATGAACGTAATAATTAATATTATAATGGAGAATAGTTTATTAAAATTTATAATTAGTAAACAGTAAATTCAGTGAATAAAATAATTAAAAGATAGCCTTTTATAAATCAATGCTAATTATAATATTCCAACAATAATGTACTCTTACACGTCTGCATAATTTGCATTCACATTTTGCTAATTATATTGTTCCAACAATTATTTCGTCTTGCAGATTTTGCATTCACATTTTTAGCGTGAGTTCAATTTATTTTTAAATTACCTCCTTTGGCTAAATTACTAAACCGTTTAATTAGATTTTTCTACCCTACTGTTATTATGTTATTAAAATGTATCCACTTTTTCTAGGAATATTAACGAAAACTATATTTGACATTGATCCTTTTAATATGTTTTAGCAATGTGCGTGTATTTAATATTTTCTTTACGTTATGCAAAAAAGTAAAAACGGTGGCAATTATAAAATAGCTCTATGCCGTTATATAAACAAACCCTACTCTATCACTTATAATAAGACACTGCGGTGCACTGAAAAGCACATTATGGTGCGATGTTTACTTTTATGGTTTCAAAATCTATAGCGATGACAGAAGGACTGACAAACGCTCAGCCCGCTTAAATTTTAAATTATATATATATATATATATATATATATATATATATATATATATATATATATATATATATATATATATATATATATATATATATATATATAATCTAGCTCTAAAAAAATCTGGGCGTGATAATGTCTAATTGTTTCCTGACTTAGTAGTCTTCACATTTAAAATTCTTATTTTTTGTTTTCAGAATCCTAACATCCACAGTCGCCATGTTTAATCCGAAACAAAATTCTGTACATAGCGACCTTGACTTTCACGTAGTTACAGAAGTTTACATGTGTTTGCGAGGCAATAAGGACAATTTTACTGACTTTACAGTCAACATTGGCGACTTCCAGTTCAACTGTCACAAATTTGTCCTAAGTTCCTGCTCTGGTTTCTTTGAGGCTCTCATGAGGACAGATATGAGAGAAAAATCTGAATCAAGCTGTACCATAGAGGGCATCTCACCGGAAATATTTGGATTCATACTGGATTTTATCTATGAAGGGAGAAATGTTCTAAATGGCGATAATATCCTTGCCATATGGCATGCTTCAAACCAACTGCAGATTACATTTTTAGTTTTATTATGTGAACACTTTGTAAAAGAAAATGTAAATTTACAAAACTACTGGGATATACTTATAACTGCTCAGCTGTTGGACTCTTTAGATGTAATATGTAGAGTTAGACTGTTTATGGTGAAGAATGTTCAGAAGATTTTAGAATCAGACGCCTTCGTTCAACTCTCTTTTGACGATTTTAAATACATTTTAAATCACTGTAGGTACCAGTATTATAGAACTGATTTTTTCGTGCAATCAGTTTTAAAATGGACATGTTCAGATGACGACTATCTCACAGATGAGTCGAAGAAATGTTCCAGCATGATTCACTCGCCAGAGACAGAAACTGATTCACTAAAATTAAAATGTAGAAAGGTGAACTCTACAACTGATCAACGGGGGGATTTAACGTCCAGAAGATCATACCTTGGTCAATTACTTGCATTAATTTCTCTCCAGAGAACAAGCAACGAGTGCCTAGCCAAACTTATGAACAATAAATTTGTCATCGAAAATGTACAAGCCATGACTATTGTTAACAAAATCGCTGCCACAAGATTCTGTCCCTCAATATTTGGTTCCAAAAAAATTAGTCCCACAAATTCAGAAATGATTATTCAAGGGTCCATATCAATTTCACATTCATCAGAATCAGACTCGGAGGTTGAATCCGATAAAACCACAGATTCTGAATCTGATGAAATCAGAGATATTTTTCCCAGCCACGCCAATGGTCAAGATCAAACTACGATCCCTAGTAGTTTTAATAGATCCAGTGAAAATTTTCTACTTTCCATGGGTTCTATGCTAACTTTAGTACTTTTCTATGCATTTTTCTGTTTATTACTGTCGATTTATCATTTTTGTTTTGAAACTAGGTAACATGTCTGAACTACAAACACACCCTCATCTTAAAACAAGCGATCTGTTTCTACAAGCATATGGTAATCACAAGAGCTGCCATTCAACACAATTACATTCAATACTACATGTCTGAATTACACCAACGTTTTAATTCAACTTCATTATCGATTTTGATTGTAGCACTGAACATATGCTTACGTTGTTTGTATTTTGTTTAATTAGAGGTAGGCCGTTGGTCAGTTTTAAGTTTATCTCGAGGCCATTTTAAAACACACACATTTTACCAATACCAATACCTTTAGGTAAATGAAAAAAAAACAACTTTTGATTTTATTTATTTTAGCTCTTTTATACATTTTGTTTCGTTTGTTTTCTAATAAATATAAACTAATTGTGTCGTATTCTGCTGTAATAGATTGACGTCAAGTTTAGCCGCCAATCATTGTGTTTGTTTCTTTAAAACTGATTGTAATGTGTAATTTCAAAATTACATAAAAAACGTTTTAATAAAACGCTTTTATGTAATAATGCATTAAAAAGCAGAACAAAATGATTTTCTTTCAATATATAATGACACTCTACTAATTAAATGACTATAAAGAAAAGCGTGTTGGAAGAGACGCACGCTTTTATTTATGGTTATTCAAATAATAAAGTTTTATTATATATTACAATAAAATAATTAATTTTCCACTTTTAATTGCATTATTCAAGCATACGGTATCTTTATATACCATGACAATGTTAGTTTAGTTTTGCAGTTTAGAACCTTGAAGATTAATTAAAAATAGATTTGTGGGATTTATTAAGCTGGGTCAGTGTGGCTTAGTCTTAGACCGAGGGTTCGGCAGGTTAGGTTCAGATCGTTAAGGATAAACACGTTTAGGTGAGTTATGTTTTGGTGAATTTAGGTGAGTTAAGGTCAGGTAAGGTAACTTTATGTGATCAGAGGTTAGTTAGGCGTTGTTAAATAATGATAGGCTTAACAAGACTGTGATGCAAACTTTGACCTTACAATGATTTATCTCTTACCAGTAATCATCATCTTTCCGTTTGTGTCCAAGACACATGGGGCAGCAGAAGAAGAGTTTATCTGTTTCAATGACCACGACGTGTAAGTGGATATGGTGGTCAGCACTATGTCTTTGTTTCCCTAACGTGAGTTAGGTACCCATCAGAGATGGGTGGACTCAATGACGTCCTACTGATATGAACCGGATTTGAAATCGAGACTTTCGAGTTAGCCGTCTCGCTCACTACTGCTAGGCCAAGCCTAAAGATGGGCATTTTCTTGTAAGATCGTTACACTATTGTGTTTCTCCAGGTGTAGAATTATGTATACCGGCATTGCAGATGCGAAGTTAAATTGTTTTGTAGAGACCCAAGTAACTTAAATTGTTTAGTAGAGACCCAAGTAAGTTATATTGTTTAGTGGAAACCCAATATAAGTTAAATTGTTTAGTGGAAACACAGTATAAGTTAAATTATTGTTTAGTGGAAACCCAAGTTAGTTAAATTGTTCAAGGGAGACCCAGTATAAGTTAAATTGTTTATTGGAGACCCAGTGTAAGTTAAATTGTTTATTGGAGACCCAGTATAAGTTAAATTATTGTTTAGTGGAGACCCAGTGTAAGTTAAATTGTTTAGTGGAGACCCAGTATAAGTTAAATTATTGTTTAGTGGAGACCCAAGTAAGTTAAGCTTTTTCCTTCTTATTCTACTCTAGACCTATTTAGTTTAAAGTGCTATACTGTAAATAAATGTAACAAAACGGAGTGGTTCAGTTTTGTAGATCTGCAGGCATGCAAAATCTATACACCTAGGGTAAAGAGTTGAGAAGGTATTAATCTAATAATAACCTATAACCGGGAATTCCCAATGTTTTAAGTTTTTTGGTGCAATCATAGTTGTTGTTGTCGGTGACAAACTAAACTAAAATTGAAAGTCAGTTAAGACTCTAGACCTATACACTTAAATTAATTTATTTTCTGTACTTTGTATGAGAAAAGTAGAACTATAATTATTGCTCACAGAAAGAAACAAATATTTTTTAAATAGGATTTGACTAAAAAGCGTGTGTTGTACCTCATGAGCGTATACATTTTTTTCTAGATCTACAATCTACATCCTTAACGTAACGGACCCCACTTTAAAAAGTCTCAAATGTCCTATTAAACATTTTAAAAATCGGTTTAGGTTTTATTACAACAAATTTGGGTATAAAAATCGAGACTTTTTTTTCGTTTTAAACTAAATATTTCGCGTATATGACTCTTAGGACATTTCGGTAACTAAACAAAATTATAAAAAGGTGAAATAATTTGCAAGTTTATCATCATGGATGCTTTAAATAGTACATTTCTGAATGTGTATTTTATTACAGAATCTATCAAACGCCTAGCTAAACGCGAGCTAGCACATTAACACTTGCACAAAAAACTGCGGCAACCAACAGTGAAATGCCAAAACTCAAAAGCGCTGTATAGCAGTTGTATTAGAAAAAAACCGTTGTTAATTGCTAATAGAAGGAGATAAAAATAGTTTTAAGCGATATCGAGACAATATGACGGGAAAGTCAATAAGTCTAGCGAATGTTGTAGGACGAAGACAACGTAGAGAAAACATTCCACAATTAAATAAGTAATAACAGGCAAAATGATTCGTCAATAACAAACTGTACGTCAAGCCAATGTTGTAAGACGAAGACAACGTAGAGAAAACATGCCACAATTAAATAACTCCTAACAGTCAAAATGATTCGCCAATAACAAACTGTACAGCTAAGGAAATGCTTCATATCCAATTACACCGTGCTGTTTTTCGAGTTGAAAAACTATCAAGTTTATAACATACAATCATTTATAAAAAGGACGTCTTTTATTTATTGTAGTTCTGTTTGTTGGACACAACAAAGCCAGCCATTACATTTTACGCACCTTGTGCGGTGCTGAAACAAGTTTGCGCTGTAATAATACCAATCGGGGATTCCCAATACAGCGCCATTCTGTTTCGGTGCAGTCATATTTGACCGTGTTCGTTGTTATCACTGGCTACACAACGAAAGGTAATATTTAATTTGCTTAAATTCGGTTGCTTTCAGAAGTTTGTATAAGACGTTGGAGCGATAAGACATTGTGAATGCGTACAGAAACGATACAATCAATGTGTTAATAAGGGTTTGGTAAAAAACTGGTGTAATTAAGCATAAAAGCTACCACGCATGTTTCCGGTATAGGCTGGTTAAACGTTTGTATTAAAAAACTGCAGCAAATAAATAGCAGGGTAATGTCGAAGGTCAATGGTGTCGTCCAGAAGCCACATCTGAACAAGTGGTAATCGGCATCCGACCACTTTGCTTTATGTTTATAGATGTTTTGATGTATATTTTTGTATTGGTCTAAGCTTTGTCAGAGAGAATGAATAACCCAGCTAAAATTCGATTTGATTAAAATTTTCTAAAATAATCTTTGTAATTTCAGCTCATCTCCTTAAAAGAAAAAAAGGTAAAATCACGATATATCGTCCTAAATTATCCGGTGATTTTTGTTGAGTTTCGTAAAAATTCGTTACCGTAAACCATAGTTTATTTGACCGTTAAAATAAAAATAAAGTCATGTGCATTAAATTAATGGTTAAACTTAATTTAAAGTTTTGGCAGAAAATTAATAACATTAGTAAATCTAAATGTTATCAATAAAATCGAGTGAAGTAATCAATACTTTTTTTAAGAAAGAAAAAAAAAACACCTGCAGAAGACTTGCGACAACTAGATCTATCATCTAGATCTAGTAAAATAAGACGATTCGATTTACTAAAGTTAAAAGTAGTTAGAAGAACTAGAACAATGTTTAGAAGCAGCAACAATTAGCATATACACTTAAAATAATTAGAAATACAAAATGATTAGCAAAACAGTATTTAAAATGCAACTAAAATCAACCCATGCACATTTTTAAACATTATGTATTAAAATAAATGATGGTTTACAATATTTTCTGTGTTTTTCGGAACGGCTTGGCAGACTACGTCATGGTTTTACTGTTTTTTACTGCTGTACAATTCCGGAATAATGAAAGGACACTATATCGTGATTTTACCGAAAAAAAAAGCACTTAAAAATTAAAGTCATACATTTTCAATTTTGAGTTTCGCTACAATCTGACCCGTTTGCCCCTTAACGTAATATTTTAAGTGTAAACTTACACATTCTCAAAATGCGTTAAAGATCATTAAATATATAGTCCACTAAAAAAAAAACAACTAAAAAAACAGGAAACGAATGTCATTTTCGTGTTTAAATCAAATTCTTGTCTAACTTCAATAACAGTCACACATATTTGCGGTTGTTGTATGTACTTTAGATATACAGTTAAGTCTCTAAACAACAATTATTTTACATTTTGACCATGCCTAACTGCAAATTATGTTATTTAATATTGTTAAATATAATAAAAACATTTAACCTTCTAATTTTTTTCTAGGCAGCAAACATCCAACACAGAAATGTCTCACACCGAGCATACGGTCGACAACATACACGTAGCTACGGAAGTTTTCAAATGTTTTGAAAAACACAAGGACAATTTTACTGACTTTACCGTCAACGTTGGCGACACCAAGTTCAACTGTCACAAGTTTGTCCTAAGTTCCTGCTCTGGTTTCTTTGAGGCTCTCATGAGGACAGATATGAGAGAAAAATCTGAATCAAGTTGCACCATAGAGGGGATCTCCCCAGAAATATTTGGTCTCATACTTGATGTTATTTACAAAGGGTCGGAAGTTTTAGACGAGGAAAACATGCTTGAAATGTGGCACGCATCCAATCAACTGCAGATCAAATTTTTGATTGTGGATTGCGAAAACTTCGTAAAGGAGAGAGTAAATTTAGAAAACTACTGGGAAATATTTACCGATGCCAAGCTGCTGGATTCTATTGACGTCACGACTAGAGTAAAAGAGTTTATGGTGAACAATTTTTCGGAGATTTTAGAGTCAAATGTCTTCACGCAACTTTCTTTGGATGACTTAAAATTCATTTTAAACCACAATAACTTCTTGTTCGAAGCCGATTTTTCCGTGCAGTCAGTTTTAAAATGGACATGTTCAGATGATTCCTATCTCGCGGCTACACCAAAGAAATGTTTAAGCACGACAGATATGGTCAAGACAATATTTGATCGGCTAAAACCGTCGTGTAGCGCGGTTGACGTGTTGACATTGGACCAGGACAACATCACACTCCGCAGGTCACACCTTGGTGAGCTGCTGACCGTACTTCCTCTCCAAGACACAACTAACGCTTGCCTGGCTAAACTTATGAACAACAGATTTGTCTTGTCAAATGTCGATGCTATTACTCTTGTGAACCAGATCGCCGCTACAAGATTCGATGCCGGAGAAACGAAAAGTTTCAACGAAAAAACAAACA